AATGTTGTGCAAGCTTAAAAACGCCCCCCAAAGTGGCTTGCTTTGAGACTTCAGCTCAGAAGTTCAAAATAGTAGCAGTACAGGACATATTCTTGTTTTCCAGTTCTGTGGGATTGGGTTTACATAGGAACTTTTCTTATAGTTAAGATTTCACCATAATTCAAATTAGATAAACTTGTAAACAGTACTGATGATTAAATTCGAGTATTTTTCTGTTAAAAAATCATCTGTTTTCTGCTTATATTGCTGCTTTAGTTGTTTCAGCTGCAGTTTTCTTTATTTCTTCCTGGCCTAGGGGAATCTTACTTTCTTAGCCTGTGAGCTTGGATATCTCTGCAAACAAATTTAGGGGAAATGATTGTGCTGATATTCTTTGCTTTCAGTTTCCTTTCTCTTCTACCAAGTGTGTTTTAATTTTTTATTTTATTAAATTGATATTTAACACACCTCAGTGTATGTCTGTGCTAAGGACTTTTGAACTAGGTATAAACCAACTTGTGTGGGGATGAGAAACAGAATAGCAGCAGTCATTGGGACCAAGATGCAGGCTGGCTGGGAAGGTAATTGTCAGCTGTATGTGAGACTGTGTCTTGCCAGTTAAGCTTTTTAACTTTGTCATGACAAAAGCCTCCCTGTATTTCAAGGTCTCAGATGTTTGTATTGAGCAAAACAGAGGAACTTGGGGAGGCATTTCAAATTAATTAGACATGTTAGAATTGTTTTTTCAGGGCTTAAAGTTGTTGCTTGAGAGATATTTATGTTAGAAATTCCTTCCCTGACAGGTACAAATAAACGTTTATTGTATGAGGGATGCCCTTGCAACCTTGGGGACATGAGAGATGTAAAGAGAGATGGCCCTGCAAGCTCTAGCATTTCATCTTGTACTTGGAGCAAAGTCATGGAGAGTCCAGTGTGTTGATTGTAATTGCTAGGTCTGAAAGGTGTCCATTTGTTAATACCCTGCAGTTACTGTTATCTGAACACAGGCTGTAGTGAAGTCTCTGCAGTGATATGTATATGTGCTGCTTTCCATATGCAGAAACTGGTATGCTCAAGTGACATGAGCTGGTGGGAGCCAGAGTGAAATGCTGTCTTTAATCTGTGCAGTCTGATTTCAAGATCCAGCTTTTTGTGCCGTTACTTGCCAAGAAGCATTATGGGACTTCAGTTTGCTTGTGTGTAGGGTTCTGAAAAGCTCTGGCTTTTAGGACGTTGCTGTGCCAGTAAAGCAACAGATGAAAATGACAGTGTGACTTAGACTGAACTTAATTCCCTTAAGGTTTCAAAGGATGCAGGCTTTTAGCTAAAGCACTTGTTGCAGACTGAAGCAGCTATGTGCAGTTGCAAGTATCCCACTCCTGCTCCTGACAACTTCAGAAAGGTATAAAGAGGATCTGTGTCCCACCTGAGTGGCAGTGCAGTCTGCCACAACTCTGGCGTTGAGTTCGGCAGGTCTCAGTTGAAGATAGTTACTGTAATGTCATTTACCAAGAGTGGGTTATGTAGCTCCACAAAGAAATAAACTGAAACAGTGGGATTTCTAACATGATCTTGATCATGTGGCTGCTGCTGATGCAATGGGGCTTTCATAGACCAGTTCCTCCAAAATCATCCAGGCGGCAATTCTATCACAGATCCTGCAAGGGATGGCTGTTTGTTGTAGGTGACGCTTTGGTTTTGGGTGGGTGGGTGATTTTATTAGGACTTGGCTACAAATTTCCGTTCATCTTCTCCTGGTGCAGATTTTAAAGGGTATGTCTTCAAAAATAATTAGTTTGGGAAATATGTCCCTGCTACTTGTGTCAGACTTGAGCTGATGCTGTGATAGCTTAGGTGGCATACCAAGGAGGAGAGAGAGTGTTCGTTTTATTTAGGTAATCTCTTTTCAGATGGACTATTGGTCTTCCCCAGTATCTGCATTAGAATAACCATGCTGTGCATTTTATTCTTTGTTCATGATAACAAGTGCGTTGTCGTGTACCAGTAACTCCTGAGATACTTTACTAACTGCTGTCTCAGGCAAAGGAAAAAAACATTCAAATGTATGTATATATGTATAATAAAGGGGGGGGGAAGCAACACCAGAATTTTTCACTCTTTGCCCCACTGAAGGACCCACTTTATGTAGCATTGCATGCTAATGTTTATATAGCCTGCTTTGTTTTCATTTGGGGATGTTCAAAGGGGACTTCAGGGCTGTAGTGAAATGTGGGAGATATGGACAAGCAGCTGACTGGAAGTTCAAAAGTGGTTGAAAAGTTGTAGAATGAAAGCTGTTTTATTTTCCACGTGCCAAGAATCAGTTTTGTTTTATTTAGATGAAACCATATTATGGCATTGAAAATCCAAGTGTATCAACATTCTTACACAGAGCAAGTTGGGAAGTGATGTGACAGTTGAGCTAATTGTTGGTTATCCGAATAGGCTTGCTGTGGATTTTCTTAAGACTGCAGGAATGTTTTGTGCTACAATACATTATTTTTTGGTTTGTGATTATTTTTTGTGGGTTTTTTTTTGTTTGTTTTTGTTTATTATTATTATGAGGGGAAAATAGAGCAGTAAATGAGTTAGGAATGAAGATATTAAACAGGGGGTTTTCTTCACTTGGAGGGCTGGCTTAAAATACATTAAATATTTGCTTCAAGCATTTAATCCTCATCTTTGAGGCATGGACATGCTACCTCTCCTTGGGGCTTGTTGTAAAACTCTATTCAAACCTTTGTAGTCCCTTATATAGTGGGTAATGCAATGAAGGATCAGCATCCCTCTTTTGTCCCGTTGTTCACTTGACGTAGCCAGAAAGAAGGCTGAATAGTAGCTTGTGATGAATTTGAGCATTGGGCTATTCAAGCCCTCAGCCTTTCACTGTCGTTGCTGACAATAATGTATTGGTTTGTGCTATTTAGAAACAAAAAAAACAAAACCCCAACCCCCTGTTCTGCACATCTGGGGGAAAAAAAAAAAGGATTTTCTGTTGTTTTTATTGTTGAAAAGAAATAGGAAAAATGCATTGTTTTGTAAGGGAGGTGAGGTTTTTTTCCATTCAGGTATTTCAGATTTAATTCTGTGGCATGTTCGAACAGTGATTTATAAAAGGTCTGGGATAAATAAAGCTTCTGCTTGGTGACTTTTGTAAAGCTTTCAGCCTTTCCCTACTCTGCAGGGGTAAACAGAAACCAACTGAAAGACAGTTAAGAAGGTGTCAGAGGGAAGCTACTGTCTGATTGTGTCCCACAGAAGAGTACCTGTGTTACCCTAATAGAGCTTATTCTCATGTTAACACCATCAGGTCTGTGTAAGGGACCTACCTTATCTGTAACTCTTTAACTCCAGGCAATTGATTACCTTGTCTGTGATGTTTTCAGGATTTATTGGGTATTTGAAATGAATTACTCCAAGAATAGAAGGTGGTTAGAAGGCCCTGCCTGAGGAAAAGGGGGGTTATTGGGATGGGTGAGTTACTTTTAGGAGTAGGCGTTACTGAGAACAGCTGTGAAGACAAAAAAATCCATCTTGGGGCTGGGTCCTGAGAGATTCCTTTTGGGAAGGGGAATGTTAAGACTTGTTACCCCATTTTTGTGACAGTACTCTTTTTCAAAAGAGCTGCTGAAGTCACATTTAGCATTTCTGCTTTGATTATCTACTAAAAATACCTCGTTTGGCAGACTTTCTGTATCCAACTTCTGTTGGTGTGATATGATGTGTTAGATTTACAGTGATGGACCTGCATTCTCTATTCCTCATTTCTCCTGCTGTTAAACTCTGGATGCTTCTCTCTACTAGAGCTTGCATGACATCTGCCTATATATGTTACGGTTCTGTATATCACGTATTCCAAATGCATGGCAGAGAAGAGGCATGAACAAATGTCTACGGCAATCACATTTACTATGGGTTTTGCATCTAGTCATTAAATCTGTGTCTGCAGAGGGTGCTGCAAGAGAGAACCTCCATGCCTTGGACAGTATCAGGAGATAGTTATATACGTCGGTTGAGGTCTGTCCTGTTGAGCAGGGGAGTGGGAAAAGCACATCTGAGATACCTGTATTAACTTTGTTTTAAAGAGCCTGCAAAAATAAGTTGTTGTTTTCCATGACCCTGATTCCACTTCAGTAGGACAATTCTTTGCTTACCTGCTGGACACTGAGCCACGTTGTTCCTCAGAAGAATTTTGCTACTAAGTCTTAAACCACTGAAATCATTCAGTTCATTGAACAGGTCGTAGTGTTTTCCTTCAGTAAGGATGCAGGAATAGTGTCAAGCTGTTCTTTAAAACTGTTGCCACAGGATGGGGCTGTTGCACTGCCCAAATATGACCTGTCATTTTGAAGAACTGCAACCAAGCACTTTCAGTGCTAACCTAAAACTACAGTCCTGTTGCTTTTATTTATTATTCACCAGTCCATGTAGTGTGGCTTCAGTTTATCCACTTTCAGGAGGTAGGAAATTTGGACTAAGGTGTTGTTGGCTTGCTAAATGTAGACCAAGTTTGCTTCTTTTAGAGGCAGCTTTGTACCATATGACAAGCCCAGGTAGTGAGGTAATAGTCCACATAAAGGGGATTTGGTCCATGTATCGCAGAATATGCTAAATATTAAATTGGGGGGGGTAGCCCTTTATTAAATCCATATTTGTGTTTTAAAAATGTGCCAAGAAGTGTTCTAATGGAGCAGCACCTGGGGGTTAATAAATGATATCATGGATCCATTCTGATTGCCAAGAAAGATTTTAATAAAGACATGCCCAGGGTTGACCGTTTCATCCACGAGGAATAATTGTTTTGTTCCCTTATTTCTTTTATTGGTTGGTTAAAACAAGTTTGCTTTTTAGCATCAAGTCATTTATGATTGACCTGCATATTTCTGTGTACCATTTGCATAAGAGCTAACTGACTGAAATCGTGTGAGAGGCGTTACTCTGATTGCATGAAGAGCTTCCATCTTTTACTGCCTTTCACATTGATCTCATCTTTCTCTGTTCTTCTTCCCTCAAACATTCAGGGTGAAGTGAAGTCTGAAGAGGGGCCAGAATGGAATATACTGCGTGATGACTTCATGATGGGAGCATCTATGAAAGACTGGGACAAGGAAAGCGATGGAGAGGGCAGTAATGAAGAAGGAGGTGGTCTGAAACAAGATGACAGTGACTGAATGAAACTGAAAACCATTCAAGATAATGTTTTATCATCTTTATTTTCTTTGGATAAAAAGTCAGCATTCTGTGAATGTACAACACTTGGAGAATATCTTTTTAAAGAAAAAAAGGAAAAGACTTGCGCAACTTTGGAGTGTTTTCTCCTTCATGTCAAACTTTTATTTAATACAGCTTCATTTGCTATACTGAAATCCTGAAATATTTTCCAAAACATGTATAATTTTCAACATATTTCCAAAACATTTTGTACAGTCAAAATAGTGGCACCTGCCCAATGAAAGAATGATTTTTGCCAAGGTCATTAAAAGTTTATACATTAGTCATGGCAAGTGTTGTATTAGTGTGCCTGCATTTCCAAATCAGCATTGCACTTTGAAAGTTGTTAGCAATTCGCAATAGAAATGGCTTACAATAAACAGAAATGCCGTCACCTTGTAAAGTTATCAGACTCCTATAGAGTCTTTACTACTTTGGCCAGAAAAGGTTTTGTAGATAATAAAGAAAAGTAACCATTAATGTGATAGTTCTGGTCTTGGAGCACTAATTTGATTGGAGACAATTCTGGAAACATAACTGTAAAAGGAGAGACTTGACCCTACTGATTGGCTTTTATATTTTGTTATATATATGGAAGTATGAGTTTTTCCATTGCAAGTCTGAAGTTGTATAAGCTGTGAGACTGATAAGAGACAAAAGGACAATCATTGCTATTATTTTTGTTGGAGGAGAGAGGGCTTTTCTAGCAATACTGCATAAAATTGTGTTCAGTGTTTCCTCATTTGCAGTTCTGGTGTTCTGGCCTTTTTCAGCACAGAGCTGGACCTCCAGGATACATCCTGTGGGTTTAGGCAGCTGTAATGCTAATTCCTGAGGTCTGTAAAGGGTCAAACAAAAGCCCTTCCTCTTAGGTGCATACTGTAACAGTAGCAGATTTTGGAAGACATCTGTCAGGGTAACACTATTTGTCTTTGTTCAAACCACAGCAATTTTTCCTAATCAGTTGTTTAGTTGTGAATATGTTATTATTAACATACATAATAAGAATATATTCTTTATAAGCATATGCATACAGAAGAAAGTGCATTGTGATTAAGGTGTTCTAAATGAGAGGCTAAGGTTGAATTCTGCTGCCTTCACTGTTCCAGACTGGCTGTCTGATGCTGTGTCAGTTGTTTAAATTTTCTATTACATTTCCCCATTTCCTATGTAAAGAAAATGCCTTGGGGCCTATTAATTGATACTTTAAAAGCACAGTACTATTCTGTCTGTTCCTATAGATGTCTGGCATACAAACATTTCTTTGTACCTGATTATATGCAAGGTAGCATTGAAATCTGTGTAAGACAGTGGATTTAGATTTTCCCAACAAAGGCACTGAGGAGGCGAGAGAGTTTGAGCTTTGTGTATACTGCAGGAGAAAAAAAATATACATACAAAATGGCAGAGAAACCTATCCTAACAACTGGCAATGCTTGTGTTATCCCTAGCCTATTCATCTGGTGTAGGTATTGTAGCATAATTCTTTGAGGAGAGCTCAAAGCTAGCAGCAGAAATGTTTAGATTTTCAAGCTGCTTTGAGTGTTAGACATATTGGATATCTGAGGAGACATTAGTTTGTGGCCTGATATTTATTATCACAGACGAAGGCATACACCCAAAATACCAAGTGGCGAAACCACAGAAGTTTGACATACGGTTATCCTGGCTTCTGAAGGCAAGATATCTGTATAGCTGTTCAGTGAGAGCTGGCATCTCATTAGTGCAAAACAAAGATAGACTACAATATTTCAAGTAGCTACTTAAGCAGAATAGCAGCATAATAGCCTAATCTGACATTGCTTTCTTTCTACAGAGCTCAGTTTGTGTGAAAAAATGACATCAGCATCTTTAAATCTACATTTGCTCTTTCATTTGATATCATCAGTATCTGCCTGAGGTCAAACTTTTGGAAAGTAATCTAGTTTTTCTTAGGAACAGTGACATTATGACATTAAAAATGCTCTCAGACTACTTCTAGGATACTTGGGTGTTTGAATTTTACTTGTGCATTTTTGAAGTGATGTTTTGATTAAAGCAATGGAGTATCACTTGTGTATTTAAGAAAAACATGGAGTATATTGATATTGCTAAAAATACCTTGAGCTTCCATTTCATAGCAGTACTTTTTGCCTGTAAGTGGAGAGCATTTCTTACCTTTTCAGAAGCATAATACTCTATGTATATCGAATACTTCTTAGATTTTGGTACCTTGCCTTTGCCATGTTCTTTGGTTGTGCCATATTCAGAAAAACTCCTAGAGTAACTTAGATTGGTAACTACCTCCTAAAGTGAAATAAGCTCCGGGCTCTTTGTGGCAGATGGAAGTGTGTATTTTAACTTTAGGCATTTGGTGGACGACTTACTTCACGAGCTTTATTGTAATGGACTAGCAGTTCAAGAGAAGAGCTAAGCCCTGTTTGGCCCATACCCCTTCCAGTCTCCTTTCTCAGCTGTGGGATCAGGCTCTACCCGCCTCCCCAGCCGCTTTTCCAGTAATGTTCTTCCTTTTCCATAGCTACCAAGAACAACCTTCATCAGCTTTTCCCAGCCAGCAGAGTGCTGGGTCTGTTTTGCCTGCTCCCATGAATATCTCTGCTTAAGCAAAGCTGTGCTGCTGCCCTTCATTCCAGAGAGCATGAATCATGTCAACTTTGTGTATTTCTGTACCTATCTATATAAAGCCAATAAGGATGGGGTGGTTCCAGTTTTGTTAGGCTTCAAGCCAACTCTAGAAAATGTAGAGTTTAATATTGTATGGATTGCATGCAAAGCAACAAAGTGGTTTTTCATAAGAGGAGGCACAGGGCGAGCTCTCCCCCATGTTTCTTATCCTCTCATCTAATTTTTCTTTATGTTAATTGTGCTAAGTATTTTTTCAGCAAGGAAAGCATGAGTTGGCCTATGGAGAAAATAGAACCATCTTACCATCTTCTGTCTGCTTTTCTGCAGCCTGCTGTTTCCTTAAACACTTGATGAGTGATGGTGGAGTATCCTTGTTGTGCCTGATGGTACAGCACCGTATCATCTTCCCTGCTAAAACATGGAGGGAAGAGCTCCCACTTCTGCAGCTGTGAGGCAGGTTCTCAGAACGAAAGAGCTAGAAACTGTTTTCTAATGGAGATACGGCTTTGCGAGTGTGTGTTTTGTTTTAGAGAGAGAAATGGTTGGGGGCCATAAAAGCGTTCTGACTATCTGATGCTTCCAGAAGAAGGTGGTCTGTAAAGCTGCATCTGTTCAGAGCTGGCTCAGTAGCTGTCTCCAGGGAGGAAGGCAGAAGTAGAAGTCATCTGGCACAGAACAGTCTGCGCAACTTAAAATGACAAACTATTCATTCTTATGAAATGAGTCCTGGCATAGTTAGTATCCACACAGAGCAGTCATCAATGCTGTTCACTTCCAGCCCCTGCAAATTGCTCAATGATTTCTTCAAGACTTGCTGAGGTAAGCAGTAAGAAGGCCAGGAGAAGGGTTGAGGAAGGGAAGACTCTTAGGATCTTAATAAATAGATAGTATCCTTGTGCTAAATAAGGTGTTAAATTTGGACTTTAGGACCTCAGTGGTAGACACTGGAGAGTTCTTGGCTACCAAATTATGGAATGCTGTTGATTTACTCCTGTTCTAAAGCAGCAGCTTTTAACCTCTTGTCAGTATGTAAGCGTCAAAGGTTTTGCCTCTGTAGATTATCTGGCAGATAAGGGCTTTTCCTTAATCATTCTTTTTCAGACTGATAAGGAAGGTTGATATTTCTTAGACAAACCGTTTTGTTTTCAAATGCATCTGTTTAATTGCTGTTCTGTCTTATGGGATATGTTGTAATAAAACCCCAGTCAAACTGAATAGCTTCAACAAAAAAGATGCTTGTGCTTGTGTAATGCTTCATCCTTTGGAATGATTTCTTTTTGTTTAAATCCATGTGTTTAATCTGCTGGATAACAAATTGTACAATGAATTAGGACACTTTCGTCAGGTCTTCACATGTGACCTCATGAGCACAAATGGTTTCCAAGAGGCACTTTGGAAGGTGATTTTAGGAATACTTACAAAACCCATTATTTCTTCACAGTGCCTCAGTGATTTTAATAGCCCATTCTCTCATGCCAGTGAGTGAACTTTTGGAGCTTTATTTTGCAACATTTTCCCAGTGTTTCTTAATTCTGTTTTCAGTATATGTGGTGTTAATTGTGAACTGCTAACCAGGATCACACCTGCACTGAGGTTTGATAGCACTAGGATTTCTTACAGACATAAGTGTTTTCAGAAGTAGCTAAATAATAGAAATAGGTCACTTAAAAGATACGCTGGTTACACTTCTTATCAGAAACTTAATGTGTAATTTAGAAATGGTTAAGTATACAGTCTGCTGATGTTATGTACTAATCGGGTCTTCAAACCATGTCTATTATAGGCATGTTTGATCACAAATAGAACAGAACATGGTTGTTTGTCATAGTTTTAAAACTTGTTTGAATATTGAGGTACTTAAAGATTCCACTAGCCATTTATGAACCCATTATGAACGTAATCTTGGAGGTTGTGACTGAGACCCTGTGGCTATTCAATCACTTTGTTGCTTTGAAATTTTTCTTTCCCAGAAAAGGAGGACTTTCCTATTCTTGTTCCGAACGGGAATAATTAACAAGTGTTGCTGGATCTAAACAAAATGGTAATGGAAAGCTTTCTTGATTATGTGGATGTTTGCATTAACTTTCAGGTTGTGCATATTTTATCTAAAGAGGATTTTCTTTGTTTTTCAAGTGATCCACAAATGACACTGTATGTAGGCATTGATGTATTACAAGGGTAGGTAGTTGCAGGTAGAAATATGAGTATCAACAATCCTAGGCTTCATTGCCAGCTCTGTCAGTGGCAGAGATTTTTAGAAATGTGCTTTTGAAGCAGCCTTTTGCTGCTTCCATTTCAGAAGAGTGTCTGAGGTCTGGCAGCTGAATGAAAACTGTTACTACAGGGCTCAGTATGTGAGCTTAGTACGTGAGCTTACTTATTTGAGACTTCACATACCTGCCTGGGCATCCATCCATTCACCATCTCACTATGCTCATCAGACATGAAAGGTGACCAAACCCATGTTGATAGCTTATCCATCATTGTGTAGGTCTGCTACCTCAGTTACAATCCCAATAAGTTCCAAAGAGCTTATGGTTCATAAGTAAAGGATGCTGCACAGGTACATGTTGGTAACAGTAGTGTAGTTTTGCATGCAGTTGGGTTTTAGGTGACTGAAATGCTTGACAGTATCTTGTTATGTGCTTAAGAAATGTAAGAAAAGGCTTCACAAAATTTTCTTCTTGGTGTCACTTCATAATAGAAAAAGACTATGAATTTCAGAACCGTCAGGCAAGATCCTCAGTTTCACAGACTCACAGTATCATTAGGGTTGGAAGGGACCTTGGTAGATCATCCAGCCCAACACCCTGCCAAGGCAGGGCCACCCAGAGCAGGTTACACAGGAACACGTCCATGGTTGATTTGGAACTCACAACCCCCCTGGGCAGCATGTTCCAATGCTCTGCCACCCTCAATGTAAAGAAGTTCTTTCTCCTGTTGAGGTTTAGCTTCTTGTGTTTTAGTTTATGGCCATTGCTCCTTGTCCTGTCGCTGGGCACCACTGAAAAGAGTCTGGCACCATCCTCCTGGCACCTGCCTGTGAGATAACGATCTGCATTGATGAGATCCTCTCTCAGACTTCTCTAGACTAAACAAGCCCAGCTCCCGCAGTCTCAGCATAAGAGAGATGCTCCAGACACCTGATCATCTTTAAGGGCTTCTTTAAGAGCTTGTGACTCTGCCAAAACGATGTATTAGACCTAAGTATAAATACACTTCCAGTAAGAAAACTGATCAAACGAATCCAGCTTGATGGGATGATAAATTGCCATTCATTCTTGTGAACTGCGTTAACAAAGGGACCGGTCAGGCCTTGAAGGGTGCTGAGCATCTTTCTGATGTACCAGTCCAGTCAGCAGGTCAGATCAGGACTGCTGGTGCCACTGCTGTCCTCTCCATCTGCTGTGTGTGCCCCGTTTTTTAATTGCTGGAGGATTATTTCAAGTTTTGGCATCATTGCTTAGAATTAAAGCAGGAGTGAAATAAGTTTATTGTAAGGAAGATAGTTCAGGTAAGAAGGGAAATACATTTGTGTCTTTTTATAACATCAGTATTAGGTCTGCGTTTCCCAGCCAATATGTAGGCTTTTCTA